TGCAAAGATCTACATTGCTTTCTCTTTTTTATTTACACAGTTACACTAAGTTATTATATAACTTAAGACAAGAAAAGGACTAGAAATATTCTAGTCGAGTAGATAAGACTTAAGACTACAAATATTCATATTGGAAAATGAGTAACATGTGTATTGGCAAATTATTTATTATTTTTGTTATTAATTATGTCATAAATTCTTTTCAAAATTTTAGGTTTTGAATCTGATGACTTAGTACCACCAGGTAATGATGAAATTAAAGATAACCAATGGTTGGGGGTAACAGTACGCAGTCAAGGCATTGGTGGCAAAGTAATGGTATGTATTTTAATAAAACTTTACTGATATTATTACATTCAATATGACTCAATATAATGAATTTCTAGGTTTGTGCTCATAGACATATTGTAAAAACAGCAGATTCTCAGTGGGGTCAAGGGCAATGTTATATATTATCACAAGATTTAAAATATCAAGATTTAAAAAAACCTTGTTCTGGAAAACCTACAAACAAGTAATTCAAAATATTTTAATATAGAATAATCTAATACAATCAAAAATATTCTTATGATTGCATTATTTTTTAAATTAATATATTTTTATTTTTATTACATTTGTATTCCTATTTTAGAGCACATGAACAGTTTGGATATTGTCAGGCAGGAACAAGTGGTGTACTTACTTCAGAAGATCGTGTTGTTATTGGCACTCCTGGCCCACACACTTGGAGAGGAACTTTATATCTTTTTACCGTTTCCGACGAATTTTTAACTAGAGATAATACTGTTTATAACGCACCAATGCAAGATTCTTCTCCTGTTAGTAAATATAGTTATTTAGGTAAATATTTTTGTTTGTTTTAAAAACAATATAAATTAACATAATTATATAAATATATTTTGCATATTAAAATATTGGCAATACAGTTAACTCATTAAAGTATCATAAATAATAAAAAAAAGAAAATTAATTTTGCAGGAATGTCTGTTACTGTGGGTAATTTCTTTAATACTGGATTGGCTTATGCTGCTGGAGCTCCACGTTCAAATGGCACGGGTCAAGTTATTCTACTTACAAGACGTGATTTTAAACCAGATATGGATGTTGCTTTTATTTTAGATGGCGAACAGTTTGCTTCAAGTTTTGGATATGAAATTACTTCTGCAGATGTTAATGGAGACAAGTATAATCTTTTTGTTTTAACTCTTACGATAAGCACTTATTAAATTATTATATCTATTTTATTTTCATTTTTTCGCTTGTAGTGTTACCGATCTTATTGTAGCAGCACCTTTTTACTTTAATAAAGCAGAAGGGGGTGCAGTATATGTATATACAACATTAGAAAAAACTTATAAAGAACGCGAAAAAAGTAAACCTGTAAAACTTGTTGGTCGTGAAGAATCAAGGTTTGTTTTTTAACACCTAGTATTTTAATAAATATATAATAATAAATACATACAATTCAATTATAGATTTGGATTTGCTTTGACAAATCTAGGAGATTTAAATAAAGATGGATATGAAGATATTGCTATTGGAGCACCTTATGAAAAAAAAGGAACAGTGTATATATATCTTGGTTCAAAGAATGGAATAATTACAGTACCATCACAGGTATCACATTATATTCCAGTACATTACAGAAATAAATTATCATATTTAGTTAATACATTTTTGTGTTGCTGAAATTCACCAAGTTCAAATTTTTCATCAAAAATTCAGGTAATACATGCAGATGATATGCCAGAGCCGTTACTAACATTTGGCTATTCGTTAAGTGGTGGAATTGACATGGATCAAAATGGATATTCGGATTTATTGGTTGGAGCTTATGAAAATGATGCTGTAGCACTTCTTCGTTCGAAAAAAATAATTGATATCACTACTTACGTTCGTTATTTAAAAAAGGATGGCACATATCAAGAAAAAATAGAACCTATAGATCCTAATAAAATTGGATGTTTAGAGGATCCAGATTCAAATCATACATG